GAGGTGGGGCACCCCCTCTCCCAAAATTACAGCAGGGAGGTATGCAAATCTCTCCCACCTGTGAGAACAAGGCGGGCGGCATTCCTCCTCCAGGGCTCACATGAACACTAACACTTCCAGCTCACATTTCAGCTCAGCTGTTTATAACTCACTGCCTCACAAGTCAGCCAACAAACAGCAAAAAACTGTGAAAAGGTGAGAAAAACCAAAATGGTACCAAGAAGGTGGAGTTTCCACTTCAGTATCTTGGGCAAAGTGAGGATTTGAAAATGCCGCCACAGACACAGATGCCTCTGTACCCTGCAGTGATTTCAGTAAGATGTTGAAACTTCCTGCTATTAAATACTAGTTTTTCCTGTTAAATAGCACAGCAGACATGTCTCACCTAACTGGCAGGCATCCCTACAAGCCAGTTTTAAACTTCCTGCTTAAAACTCCCCTTCTGGCTGTCTCTCCTTCCCACTTCTAAGCAGAAATTGTATCACTGGCAAGTGACAGATACCTAGACAGAGGAATTGTGATGAGATGGCTCAGTTATCTTTTTTTTTTTTTTTTAATCAAGGCATGAAAGCTAGGGCAGAATACAAAGGAAAATGTAATGAAAAAAAGCCCAACAACCTCTCTGAATGGTTTCTAATGGAGTAAATATATAAATCGTCATTAAGCTCAGCTGCCCATTCCTTGCTGAAAACCTACTCAGGTTAATGGTGGATCCACCTTCTCTAGCACCAGTTTTTGGTATTTTGGTACTGGTTAAGTTATTTTGAAGGTGGGGCTCATTGTGAGTTTGAAAGAGTGACAGGATTTTGCTTTATCCATATCATGTTCCCAGTCAAAGTTGGACCTGGAGTGCTTGCTGAAAAATTAGAAGCTTTGGAGAAACAAACAGAAGAGACTGGAACTAAGGTTACCATTACTTATAACTTCTTTAAATGTGAGGATTTTTACTCTTATTAAAAAATGATCCTACTTAATTACTGCAATAATTTTGTTTATATTTAACAGTGACAGTTGACAAAGACTGGCAGAGAACTTCATGAAATTAAGTCCCACGTGACTTTAGTGCCTGACCTGCCATTAGAGAGAGCTCAGTTATTAATTGTCCTGACACTTTTTATGTATTTTCCCCATATTCTGGAATTCAAATTACCTGTTCAACATGCAAGAGAGTAGTCTCACAATCACAATGGGCTGGACGTGGCACAAGCAGTATAAAGCAAGGGCTAGGGATATATTAGCAGGGAAGACAATCACTGTGGGAACAGGTACAGGAGCAGGAAAGGAGGATACAAGGTCTGGCAAAGCATGATCTAACTGCTGACTGCATTCCTCAAGAAATGTTGATGAAGGTCTTGCTCCCAAAGCCTGCTATTCCACCATGTCTGAAACATTTAACCCACTGGCAAAGCGTGGGGCTCTATCTCCCTCTCCTGTTACTACCAAGTAGACTGTAACAATGTTGTCCTGCAATTAGTTATTCACAGACTTGAGAAGACAAGTGGGGATCTCCTGTGAGGTTCCTCAACCCTACAGATCATCTAGGTCATGTTTAATATAGTTGCATCATAAAAACTCTATTTAAGACAGCAATAATATCTTCAAAGTCAATATCCTGTAGAAGCAAATGCCAGAAGTAAGCCACACCTGTAACTTTCTTTTTTTCTCCTGGACTTGAATTTATTCAATTTGAATCATATGAAATTTGAATCATAGGCTGAGATATGGAGGCCTCCATAATCAATGGAGGGAGAAAGGCACCTCCAAAACACAATTTTATCCTAAAGACTCATCTTCTTCCATTGAATAGAAATTATTCCAGACAACCAGACCAGTCATGCAAATTTTAGCTGGCTATGATTGCATGCTAAGATGAGTCTCATCCCCTATATACAGATGATGTGATTAAGTTTTGATTTACATGACCTAATTATATGCTGCTGTTTCCAGAAAAATATCTGGCTCATTCAATATCTGGCCAAAAAATTAAATAAGATAGCGTAGTTAAATTTTGCCTTACATTGCACCAGAACTAAGTGAGTTGGTACCATTTATCCTCTTTGCTTTAATCTCTGTACCTCTGTTCCCACATGTGCAATGCTGAATATACCTAATGTTACTAAGAAAGTTTAGGAGATAAAAATCTACAATGGATCTAAAGTACAGCAGTACAAGCATTATGAAAAAGCTCTTGAAGGAATTATTATTCTGTGGTCAGTACAAGATAAATAAAGGGCAAATAAAGCCTGGGGCTCCATGCATGACTAAGGGTAATAAAGAAACATTGAGTATGCACTGCTGGAGACACAGGGAACTTTAGACAAACTAACAATTCCATGAACCTCAGCAATAATGAAATCTGATTTCCTATGGATTTAGGTCTTGAAGTGAATTAAATTTGATATCTGTGATGCAAGCTCCAGCTGGAGTATCTGGTCGAAGCATTTTTCAGTCTCTCTGTGTAGTGAGAGACTGAAATATTCTATGAACTAATGCTGGAGACTTTCCTTCTTCAGAGTACTCTGCCTCTCACCTTATTTTCAAGGAACTACTCAGGAACTTAATTATCTTTCAGTTTGATCAGTCAAATTTGTTTAAAATCAGCTAACAAGTTCCAAAGGTACTTTAAGAGTAAAGGAATAAAAAACACAGCATAATCTCAACAATATTGTTGCCATAGGAAAGTGTAAAAAAATGAAGGAAGGGCAAAATTGAGGCCTGCTACTTCTGAATGTTCATCTCAAATGACATCCAGCTGTTAAACATTAAATGTTACTCTCAACAGCACAGGGCAAGGTCTTAAATGGATTTTCACTGCTCTCTACTCAGGAGATATATGTTTATTTAATATGATTTAAATAGTCTTAGTAGTCAATCACTCTTGGGAGGTAGACAGAATATAAGTTTTGGTTAGTTTTATTGCAGTTTTCAGAAAAAGGTGGTAACTTCATTCTTCTTTTTGTTTTTTTTTAATGGCGTTCTCTCCCGAACCTAGTTTAGAAAAATACCAACAATCACACCCAAAAGGACATATACAAAGGCTTGTAATATTTTTTTTAAAACCTACTTGAGAACACTACTGCTTGCCAGGTATGAAACCAAGACCACAAAAGAGCAAATGCTAACTGCATTCTGGGTGGTATTTTTTTGGTTTTGGTTGTTTTTAGAGGACTGACTCACAAGTCCAAATAGTTCACTGGCAACCAGAAGCATTGTCAAAGAACAGCTGTCATCTATTAATGAACAGGTTTAGGCATATCTGATATTCATGAGACTTGTGTATAAATAAAATATTGTTATTTGTCAACATGTCTAAGCAAACTCCTGGAATAATCTATGTCATTAACATTTATTTCACTGCAGCCTTTCAAATATAATCAAATTGGTTATGATTGCCCTTCTCCAAAAACTCGTCAGTCAGAGGAAGTTAAAACTCCTGTCCATTCAGTTATTATTAACTGATTGGTTTGAAAATTGTGAGTTCCCAGAAATATGGCATGACTCCTTAGGTATTACCAATGTAAGCAAAAAAACATCTCAAAAAAAACATCTGATGCTTTTAATAAGACTACCCATGTAAATTAGAGCTGCAGGAGCAAGACCCAGCATAGAATGGCTGAGATGAAAAGTATCTGAAAGGTCAAGCAGTAGTTTAGTTATCCAGATGACTGGGACACAGAAGTGTTCTCTCTCCCTTAAGCCAACTACAAGACTGCAAAAAGAGATGGGAAACCACAGTACAAAATAGTGACAATACACTGAAACACTTGTGCTTTTTTGTTTTGCATTGTTTAAATGTCTTTAATATGAAACTTTTTAATATGTTTTTCCCCCCAACCCACCACTGAACCACAACCTGCTCTAATTTTTGAAATAATCAAGAAGTTTAGTACTTCTGTGTGAGCTCTATAACTCTGGACATCAATCTTCCCCACCTACAGGAGCACTTTGTGTAAATGAAGTTACTAAGGACATGTCCACAGTAGATGGCAAGCAAGAATGTACATAAAAAGTCCTAGATTTCCTCAGATTAATACAGCCTACTGCAATGCATCTGAGGATGGACTACTGCCTGCCAGCCTACCCTGCTTATTTATCTTATCTCTGAGTAAACGGCCCTTCTCAAAAGCGTGGCCATAATAGACTGTCCTGGGGAGTTCCTTTCTTCTGTGGGACTGGGAAAGCAATGATGTGCTTCCACTGAAGCATCTCATCAGTCTGGGACAGATGGTCCATTGCAGAGGGCAGGGAGGCCTGATATCTCCAGGCATAGGTGCCTTGGGCCAAAACACTATGCAAAGCTGTATCTCCTTTTTACAATCAGCAAATACGTATTTCACCACTACCAAATGGATGTATGACTGAAATTATCTCAGACTGGCATCTATCATGTCATTTTTCACAGCTACTAGTCACACTTCCTACTGCATTTTCCATTCTCCAAAATTTCATCAGTTGGAGGAAGTTAAAATTCAAGTAGTACATTCAGATTTCACAGTTTTGTGAACAGGCAAATTATTTTGTCGAACCTGAAAACCATGATGAAACTGTATGGTAGATTTTTTTTTCCTAGCAAACTCTTTATCAGGCCAGTGGTAAAACCAATTGGGCTAAAGGGGTTCTTGTTTAAATCAACAAATGCATTTTACTAAAAATGGCAAATTACACACCAAAGTAATGGTACATGATGCCTCATCAGGATTCCAAATATTTTTAGCTAAGGTGAAATGTTACTACAGACAAATATGACAAATTCTCATGGGCACATTTTCCAAACACACATACATGCAGAGCTGTTCAAAGCAGTTCTAATTAAAACCAAGCAGCAGTGTAACATGTTCAACGTGGTTTGAATTTTTTTGCCATGTCCACACTACAAACCCCATGAATTTTCATGAAGGTGAGTAGGAATACTGAAGTTTCACTTACCGTAAAGTAAGTGTCAACAATCTTAATGTGAAAAATACCCAAACATCATTTCTGCACGTTCAGAGAATTTTCTTAGATATCATCCAAACATTCTGCAGAAATGCTCACTTCACACATATTTGTCTTTGCAGCAGTTATTATCATAGCTATTGTTTTGTAGTTTTCATGTTTCATACTGACAATATATTCTCTATTTACAGTAGACAATGCCTTTTTCATTTACAACAAAATCAGAGTTATTTTACTTGAGACTTTTTTCCAACAAGCTCAGTAACTCAAGGGCCTGCCATTATCCTCCTGTTCTAAACAACATTTGACTGTTCAGTTGCTGAGCTTCACTTTCATGTCAAAGTAATGAAATTATTTTTTTGCCTTTTTTTTTCCTCTCCCAAAATTACCAACTACAACTTGTGTTACTATGTAGTATGACAGGACCCCAATTTAGAAGCAGTCCAACCCTGAGCTGTTATTCTGACCACCCCCATGGCTACTTAATCAAAACACTGCTACTTGTGACTTTGTCAGTAATTTTGCTCATTTATCTTTATTATGACTTGAAGAGTATTTGGAGTGGAAGGTTAGTTTTGTATAACTAATATTGGTGATGAATGGCAGTGATAATACATTGCATGAAGAACATCTATTAAAGTCTAAAATAATATTCTGCTGCCTAAAAATAAATTGCAATGCAAAACATTTTCAGAGCTAATGAACAATAATTCAGTCCTACAAAAGAATTGCAACTTTGAAGAGTAAGGACCTTTAAGCCAACACACTGAAGTTAGAGAGATGCTGATTCTGAGAGATACAATATTGATTCTACCACTAATTAACTAAAATCTTTAGGCCCTGGTAACTTCAAAAGCACTAGTGTAAATCAACCAAACAAACAGCCATGAACCTTGGATAAAACATTTGATTGCTGAACATAAAAGCTCCACTGATTCCATCATCATGCGGAATCTTCACTGTATGCACACTCTGCAGAAACCCAGAGGAGAAAGGAATCTTCCTGTCACAGAAGTGGAGCTACTCAGGAGCTGTTAACCACTCCCTTAAAGGAAAGTATGGGAAATAAATCCACAAATGCAGTCTTCCCGAATTTCCACTTTCTCTCTGAACTGCATTGTACTTGCTCACCTCTTCTGTTTTTCTCTTCTCCCACAATTCTTCTCACCCACTCCTTTGTATGCCTCAGCTACAGGATCCCCCCAAAATACTGACTCCATAATGCAAAAACAGCATCAGCTGTGTTTTGCTTAAACTATTCTGTAGATACAACCTTGTTTACCCAATCTGTCAAGAAAAATCTCCCATTTTCTTTCTCCTTGTAAAAGAACCCTACCTTTTCCAGGATTTCCTTAGTCAAGACTGAGAATGCATGCTCAATGTTCACGTTTTCTTTAGCACTGGTCTCAAAAAATGGCATTCCGTATTCCCAAGCAAGCTGAAAAACAAATGTAGGAAATGGGATGAACACTCTTCATGTAAAAACCGGTTCCTAATACTAGTAGCAAGCAATATGAAGGTGTTCTGACTGCTAACACTACAAAAACACTAATTAAGTACATGACTGCTCAGTAAAGTACTTTATATTCATCCTCAGTTTATAAATTTCAGGTATCTTTCAAAACATTCTTCTTAAATTTGTCTGTTTTCGAAACAGCTTTTTTAACCAATCTTTACTTGCAAATAACAAGAATAAAATCCAGTGGGTCTGTTCTCAGTGTTTTGATTTATTTGGAAAATGAACTGTCTCCTAAGCAATTATTTAGAGGAAACTAATGGAGTGGCTGCAGACAAAAATATGACAAGAACTGTTAAAGAAAAGTAGCAGGATGAAATATAAAAAAGAGATGTTCCTTTATGTTAGACAGAGAGAAGCACAGAGATAACAGGCAAGCAAAGAAAACATATGTATGTAAAATGATATTATGGTAAAAGGCAAAGAGAGAAAATACTTAGATGTGCAGCATAGACTTTACATTGGTTGATTTTCTTTAATTTACTCCTGTTGTCTTATTTCCAGTGTATTTCCATTACAGACAGCTTTGAGTTATGTTGGCATGAATTAAAAAACCCCAACACAATATATATACACAATATTCAGACTTCAGAGTTTTAGTCAAAATATAATAAAGATTACACTAGAGGTAAAAAAAAAACCAACAAAGTAAGCAAAATGGTTTCCTTTCCAAAATGCTACAAGAAATTGTAGTTCTGAAAATAAAGATGAGATCTAACTGATTCATTAGCCAGAGACCACTTCATAAGGCGTTCTGAAACTCAGTGGACTGCCGTGAACTGTTTTTGGTACTGCAGCAACTTGTTACACAAAGTTAAGATCATTCAACTATTGCCAGTACAAAACAATGATGCATAAGGGTTCATAAAGAAAAAGACAAGCAATAAAAGAATACTGGGCTAATAAAGTACAGAGAACTACTGTCTTGCTGATTATAAAGTACACAGAAGCTACTATTAAATGCCCTTTTTCTTCCTTGTATCATGCAACATGTTCCTAGAAGTTACCTATGTACAAACTTTGATGAACACAAACCAACCCTTTTAATCGTGGAATTGCAGAAATATTTTTGAAAGACAACCCGACTTGAAATGAGGCTACTGCCCACGCAATACTGGGTCAGCAGTGGCTTTGCTTACAGAAGTCTTGAAATCCACCAGTGATGGAGATTCTGTAGCCTTTATGGGACCCTCTCCCATGGCTACATCAATGTTCTAGTGCAACTGGCTCTCCTCAACTCCAACCTGAACCTCCCAGGACAAGATTTGCGTCTGCCACCCATCTGTTTATTGTCTGTCTCTACTGAAGAGAGTCCATTTCTGTCTTTCCTTTAATGCCACTTCAGTTGCTGTAGAGCATTAACTGCTCCTTAGCTTGCACTTTACCCAACTCCCTCTCCTCATGGAATACCAGTACTAGATCCCATTCACCTTTTTATAGCTGTCTGCTGGACCAGCACTCAACCAGTTTCTCAACACCCTTCTTGAAATGGGAGAGCCAAAGCTGGACAAATTATTCCATGTGGCCTTGTCAGCACTAAGTAAGGGGGTAATAATTTCCCCAGATCCACCATCCATTATCCTTCTAAGGCAGCCCAACACCTTTAAAGCCATGAGGGAACACCGCTGACTTATATTCAAGCGGGTGTTCATTGTAACTCATGAGTCTTTTGTGGCAGGGCAGTGACTCATGCCTTGGATTATTCTACCACAGGTGCAAATCTTTGCACTTCATGAACTTCACGATGTTTCCCCTGGCCCAGTTCCCAAGTTTATCAAGGTCCCACAGAATTGGTGTCCTCCCATGTGGTGTGCCAGTCACACCCCTAAATTTCATGTCGCATGCAAATCTCCTTCTATCATCAGCCAAATCACCAATGAAGTTGCCGAACAATGAGACTGAGGCAAGGCTGACTGCCTATAGTTCCCTCAACCTTCTTCCTTGCCTTTTTTAACAGACACATCATGGCATTAAAAGGGAGAATCTCTTCCAACCACCATGATTTTTCAGAGTTGATTGACAGTGGCTCAAATCACAATGATCAGCTCTTTCAGCACAACTGGGAGAACTTCATCATGTCTATGGGCACATCCAACTTTCCTAAGGAATTTCTAATCCAAAGCTTTCCCACTGCTGGCTGACCTGCTCCTTCCCAAACCAAGCAGGGACCTGCAGAGACATGGGAGCAAGCTCCATTTGTGAAGACCAAAAAAAAGAAAAATCAAATCAAATCAAAAAAGCCTTGAATACTTGAGCCTTCTCTGTATCATGTTACTACATTGCCCACTACATTTATCAATGCACCCCCATTCTCTCTATATGTGCATAATATTGGTCACAGAAGATTAATGTATGTGTTTTTAAACTTTACCCTGCATACTACTAAACTCTGTGGCAAGCAAGTCCTCCAAAAACGTAGCTCAGTGCAAAAAGCCCCACTGGTCCAGTGGTAAAGCAGTTGAATGTATGAACATGTATTTGGCTACCCCCTCTCCAAAAGACAATAGAAAAGCGTATTCAAATAACTACTTTTTCTTTTTATCCTTTGGGAGCATCTTGAATAGATCCACAAATAAAATACCTAAATACATTTACAAACCTGTGGGAATTATGCTACTGAGAAATGATATTTTATAATATCCGTGATAACAATTTGGAGAGCTTGTGTGAAATAAGCTTGTATCTTACCAACAACAATAAAATAAGTAATGCTAATACTACTTCCTAGCAAAGTGCTGGTATGATTTCTTAGTGCTGAATCAGAGAGATATGTCTGAAATATTCCAAAACTGTGCAGAGTTCTATTACGTGTGAAAAATCAGCTTTGAAACTATAAATCAGCTTCAGCTATGAAGACAGCAAAAGCAAAAAAAAAAAAAAAAAAAGGAAGAAGATTTTACTTGGCTTTTCCTGTTAAGAAAGATTTGATAGGAGAAAATCAGCCACATTCTACCAATTCATATAACCTTCAGCATTTTTATCTTTCAATTAAAAAGATAATCATATTGGGAGGTGAACAGAGAAGCCCAAGAAGGTTGAGTTAGAACTGTTATCTAAGTGAATAAGAAACAATTAATACAAGAAAATTATACTTCATACTGTTAAAATTAAATATCTCAATTTCTGAGTGATCACAATTACATACATTTGTACAAAATAAATTATTACATGATTTTGGACAAAAAGAAACAACAAAAAATTTCTCAGCATTAAACTGAAATGAAATTATACATGACAGCCACTCAGTTATAACAGGTTTTTACAGAAATAACAATATACATGATGAGATTCCCAGGGAACTTGGAGTTCTTCTGTGCAAGAACTGAACAGAACAACACTTAAAGCTCATTTTATCAGGGTAATACAAAATATGTAACTACAAATTATTATTTGTCAATGTTAGAATCAAACTGTTTTCCCCTCTTAATTAGGATGTTTTCTTCTTTAGAGTGAGAGGACAATTACTGTCTCTCTCTCTCTTTGCTAACATAATCTTTCCCCAGCACATTCAATCAGATCCTTTAGCACTTGTAAATCATATTAAAAGAAGAAATAGTATAACAGAAGAGTTGCCTTCACTCAAAAGACAGACGAAATCTAGAAAGCAGACTCACTGGGATAATGATTTCTTTCTGAAAAAAAAAATACTACATTAAGAGGAATTTTGGTTGCATGGTTAAGAACCCAGAAGTCAAAAAATGTCATGGTTAATACACTAAGCAAAACCCTACTACTGCCCTCTGGTGCACATGCATCCAGTGACTCTCTAGGTTTCTGACAGTGCATCCTTTGTGTGAGACTGCATGTATTTTTCAGCAACCTTTCTCCTTGTACACAGATATGGTACATTAACACTGAAGGCATCTTGCATGTGAACTATGAACTCTCAGGAGTGTAATGCTGTCCAAAAGGTGATGTTATTTTTTTAGAGTTTCCTGATCTGGGATTATACAATTGGCAAGAAGCTATCAGTGTGTTTTTCTTTAAACATGAGGCATCCTGCTCGACTCACCATGCCTGAAAGCATAACAGGAGGGCTAATTCCAAGTTCCAGAGAACAGATGCATACAGTTTGCAGTAGCAAAATTTGCTGGCATATAGGACACACTGTCCTGCAATATTTAATAATTATCCCAATTTCTTCTACCATAGCATGGCTTCTAAATTTCCTCACTGGCTCTCAGTGAGACACTTTTTGCCATTCCCTTTAGAATAGCACTCCCCACTCAGTAAGTTCTTCCGCCACCCATGATCAGCAGCTAGAAACTCTACTGCAGTAGAGTCAACTATACATGACATAGACAGTTTTGGGGAGTTGGATGTTCAGTATTTGTCCAGTCTTATTTAAGGCTATTCAAGAGACAATGCAAATCACTTTGCACAGGCTGCCAGAATAGTTCTCTGTAGTCAGACTGTAGCAAAAATACCACTGGGTATTAGAAAATACCACTGGGTGGTATTAGAAAAATTATGCAGACTGTATTTCATTTTAATATTCTACAATACAACAGTACTCTGAAAATGCAGTCTGTATAAGATTTCTGGTTTAACACTAAAACTTTTAAAGTACATTTTAGCCTTTAAAAGAAAAATTGGCATTGTGAAGAGATCAGCACGGGATTACTTAATGTCTTTCTAGCACTCTAGAACTTCACAACTGTTCTTCTAGAGCCAAGTCCTAGCAGGATTTTTGGAATTCAGGAGCTTTTTACCATTTCCAGTTTAACAGCTCAATCACAGTCTAAGAAACTCAGGAGGACCCGAAGAAAGTACTAAAGATACCTTTTCTCCTTTCTGTTTTGGAACTACCCGTTCTGACTCCTTATCACACTTGTTGCCCAACAGTATTACGTCCACTTCATCACCTGCTTTCTAAAAGAGAACCAGCATTAATAAATATCAAGTAAGAAAAAGGCAAACAACAAAAGCCCTTCACCTTCAGCTCACACTAACCTTCAGCACTCCATTTCCTTAAAAGTAAAGGCTAAATTGTCTCATGACCTTCATCTGTGCAAATATTTTCCACCAGCTACTGCGATTTGGAGGAAAACAGCAAGAATGCAAAGAGCAGAAAAAAGTTACTTGGAAGTGCCATGTATAATTTCCAACCTCTTTTGTAAAGTATAAAGTATATGGTGCATGGGCACCATCTTCTGATGAATGCTCCAGCTTGAGGCTTTAAAGTGACTGGAAATGTCCTGAATTCACAGACACTGGCCTACTAAAAGTAATAGATTCATGGATTAGCATATGACTCTGCTCTACATCCAGCACTCACAAGTAAAAGGAAAGAAATTTGCTGCACCTGAAAGAGCACCTCTCTGTACTTCACTTTTGCACAGAGACAGTAAAATTACTTTCAAAGTGTTCAAACTCAACATAAAAGTCTGATTATTCCAAGATACTAGGAAGAAGGCAATAGATTTTAATGAAGTAAAATTTAAAAACCTCATTGATTTCAAAAGGAAGAAAAATCTACCTTTTTGACCTTGTCTCCTTCTCTGTTCCTCTAATCCACTCACCTGCATGATGACTGTGAAATGCACTGGGTTTTTTACATCAGTGTTATTTTAAGATAAGTCATTGTAACTATACGTGACTGGAATAATGACAAGGAAAGGGAATAATTCTGCAACAGCACGTGGAATTTGAAAACTGACATTCATTGTGCAAACCATAATATTTAAAACTGCTTTTGGTGCTTGAATGGAAGACGCTGAGGCTCTCAATCTACAAACAACTGAAGCTACTGCAGTCTGATGCCACGGTTTTTATTCTGGAGGTACATGCTCCCACAGCTTCCCTGATGATTCAAAAAGCCTGGTCTCAGGCTGCAGATCTCTCTATAGGGACTTTGATGAAATCTCCGATCTCTGTTAAATGCTTAACTTTTGTAACTTTGCCATAAGTCAAAATCCATCACAACCATTCAGAGAAAAACCTCTATTCATTAAAGGATGAGAGAACACTATTTTTAGTCTATTTCTACTTCTAAAACAATTTGAAGTTTTCATCAGTAGGCACAATTAAATATTAAGGAACACTATTTCTTTTTTCTTAATCCATTCTCCTCTTAGAGTCATCTAGACTTATTTCATACCCACAGTTTATTAACATGAAGTAAACTACATAATAGTACAAAATAGAGGCCTAAAATAATGAATTATTGTAACCTGGATTAACAGACCAAAACATTGGCTGTTTCAGAATGCATTGAAGCTTCACTCATTTAGATCAGTGGCTCTCCTACATAAAACCACATATATCAGTCCCAAAATAGGGTAAATAGACAATTAAATGTCATTATGTAATCAACCTTTAATTTCGAAGAATACTGAAGGTTGATGAAGGTTTTACAAGTGACATTTAACTTCACTGTGAAGTTAAAATCTAGAGGGAAATACTTGCATACTGCATGCACAAACCAACTAAATTCATTCTGTAACTTCATTTCTGTATTAACAGCACCAGTTTTTGCAGTAGGAATGTTCTTTCTAAGCAGTTTCAAACAATAATAACATTTAAATAAGGTCTGAGGTACCAGGCCTTTTAGCAAGTATTCAATAGTACTACCAATCACAAAGTATTTACTTCTGCAAATAACTACTATTTCTATATCAATATAATGCATTAATGTATTTTCACTTTGTCTGGATCCTCCACCAAAGCACTTATAGTTCTCCTTTTTTAAAGATGGTATCTTGCAGTTTCATGCATTTAGAAAACTGAAAATTGTTAGTCAAAATGATGTCAATTTTACATTCTGAAAACTGATTATGTATGATGTCTTAAAAAATTAAGTCAATACAACTAGGACATAGTTTGACCATGTGCTCAGCTGGCATAAAAATTGCACGGGTACACTGATTTCAACTGGTCAAAAAGATGGCTTTTCAGTGCTTCCAAAAGCTTGCTGTATATTTTCATGCTCCATTATTTATAGCTCAGGAATAAGCTTTCCAAATGCAAAATCTATAGCTAAAAAGATGAAGGTTATTTTACAGTTAAAATCCTATTATGCAAGTCAGCACTGAGTAAGCTCATAGACTCAGGAAACATTTTCCCCCCATATTATGGGAAAGTACTATTCAAAATCATCAATTTCATCAAGGCAGAAATATTTTTTTTTCCAGATGAAGTTTTACTCTGGTATCTCAAAATGCCAATTTTTGGTTCATTATCTCAGTTTTTCTTTGCATTTTAACATTTTGAAGTTCACATTTTACTGAAGGTGAAAATGAATATAATCTGAACCTGAAGAATACCTACACTACTTTATTTTGAAAAGGAAAACATCATCATTGTATTTCTCTGAAAAAAATGGAGCCAAAACATTTACTGACACAGACCAAGTCTTTTCAAGTGTTTGGCACAACTTGGAGTCACCAGGTTTTGGCAGAAGGGTTTTTCTTCCACTGGGTTCTCAGGCAGCTGGATGTGGCAGCAGCAGGAGCCAGGCTGCTCTGAGCAGTGGCCACGGGAGGGAGCAGCAGCAGAGCCTCAAACTCAGCGGTGCCACATCCTGGACTCGGAACACTGGACACTCACATCACAGTACCACAGTTTCTGTAGCACGCTACTGATAGGGGCCACCCACCCGTGCCCTTCACCCCACTGCTTAATGTCCACCCAGCCAGGGAAATACACAGCTTACTATGAGTCTATTAACAGAAATCAAAAATGCAAAAGTAAAAATATCTTGCTCATCCCTTTTGTATGTAATTTGTTTGGGGATTTGGGTGGGGTTTTTTTTCAAATGTTAGGTATTTTTTTTCCCTATAGTTTTTATTTTCCAGAAGTGCTGTGAATTCATGTGAGTATGAAAAGTAGCAGACATCTTTTCTATGAGAAAACTACATCGTATCTATACTTACAGACTATTGAAAGAAACTATCCCTTCACTTCTTAAATGGTGAACACAGACCTACCAAGAATGATCCCAACCTTCCCCGCAACAAACTCCCCATGATGATTATGAGCTCGCCCAGAGTCCTCATATAAAGCTACCTATCCCAGGGTACATCTTCCAGAACACCACCTTGTCTCTTCACCACATCTCCAGGGTGTAGCTGAGACATTGATTACTCATTAATTACAGTTTGAAAAGCAACAGAATTTTGTTTGTAGGTCCAAAGAGTGAAACTGAGAACCCACAGCTGATAAAAAAACTATGGGAATTCTTAAACAGTCTGTATTTGAGAAAGAAATGTAGCTTTTCATTTGAAGATGTACATGGTCAAACATCAAGATGAAGGCAGAGCTGGAGAAGGCCACAAAACTGGGAATCTTCTTCTTATTACTGATTAGACAATGACACTAGAAACCTACCCTTTGTAGTACTGAAGAACAATTTGTTAGAAATAGATTGTCCTCAGAGTCTATTTGAAAGCATCACGTGGGCAGTGTTCATATTAGGACTGCCAAACATGTTCTCTTTCCACATATTTTTGTAAGTGCCACCTTATGACCTCAATTACAAATGCCTGGTGTCCAGGACTTCAGTGGAAACAAATGAATGATCAAATTTATTTGTTTACCAGTAAATTTAGAATGCAGTAGATATAAACCAATTTATCCCAAAGCCAACCTAGGACTACAGACAAACCAATTTAATAAAATGACAAAAGCAAGAATTTTAAGTTTTAATCAGAGCCATAATGACAAACCTATCTATGAACTGGGACAATCTGATCTTTTGACATCAAGCTTTCCCACCCAAGGAAGAAAAACTGAGAAGAGTTTCAAGTCAAACTAATTTGCACTTGTAAAGAAGTTTGCTGTGCTGCTTTTCTTTAAGATGATGCTGAAAGGCAGTCTAGTCTCCCAAATGCACCAGAGGAACCACACCAAAAGAGGGCACTATGCAGAAATGACAGCAACTCAACAATACAGTTCTTATCCCTCCTGGTTGATGGGCCAGTTCTTCAGGTAGGACAAATAGAAAGTTAATGTATTAAAAACCACTAAACTACCATCACCAAGACTTGCTCAAGAAAAGAAAATTATCTTCTCCATGCAGAAAATTCTGTGATGGCAGACAATTTCCAGCACAGAGATAATTGTTAGCAGCTGGTATTGCCACCTTGATGGCCACATCAGAAGACTGGCACAATTAAAACAAATACAAGATATTTAGAAGTAAATTAAGACCTACCATCTATGTCAACCATTTCTGGAGACCCAGATGCCACGTATGAATATTGGAGTGATTTAGTTGGCAAGGACTTCTGGAAATCAGCTGGTGTAGTCTTCCAGTCAAAGATAGGCCAACTTCAAAATCAGGTCAGGTTGCTCAAGGCCTTGTTGAATGGAGTTTTAAGTGCCACCTTTAAGTGACTCTCTGGGTAACTATTTGAGCATTTGAACCACTGTATTGTGAGGAACCTTTTGACAGTGTTAGTTGGAATCTTGCTCAAAACACTCTGGAAAAAAAATGTTTTCTGCAAAATGATTTGGTACACAGCTGCTTGTATTTGTTTAGTTTTCAAAGGCCAAGCAGCATTAGCCTTTCAGAACAGGTGCATACAGTAGCTTAAAGCCATGTCAGCAGGAAGAACACTTTAATAAATTGGACATAACCTGCAATTCTACAAATAAAGAATGGTTTCAGGTTCTAAAGTTATCTTCCTGCAATTATCATGCTCCTAATGAATGCATTACAAATCCAATATGCCTATATTGGACTTGCCAGTAATGTCCTAAAATATTAATCTGTGCATATTTTTCTCACAAGCTTTTAAAAAGTACAGTTATGTTACTTAGTTTCCTCTAGTTCTGAATTCAAATTTTACAGCAATACAGATATGGAAGCATATTTGTGTCTTGTACCTCCTTGGACAATAATTCATTTTTAATAGTGAAGCTGCTGTATTCCACACTTAAACTAACTGAAATATAATGAGAACATTACTGGTAATCTGATTGTAATTGCACTGACTGGCCAGTTTTTATAAAATCAATGGGAGTTTTTAAGAATACTAAATTGCTTGGATTGTTATTTTCAACTGTTGCAAAAATGGCTCAGCACACTGAACAGATTTTTAAAAAACTTGCTGTTTAAAATCTTTATGTGCAAAGAACCAAAACATGAGAGCAATAATGTAATAACTGAATTGCCTCCAAAATTCCTGTTTGACTCTTCAGGTGCAAACTTTACACCTATTAGTCTGGTATTTAGTGAAGTCTGTATTCTCCCTGTTTCCCTTTTAAAAACTTATTTATTTTTTTCTATGTTTGCATATTTTAAATGGTGCTGCAGCAACAGTCACTTTGATTTTGGGCATTTGTAGGGAATTAAATACTGGTTTACATTCACAGACCAAAGCAAGTGCAAGGAATGTCACCGACCTCCAGGAAGTAATTAATTTTCATGAAATGCCCTGTCTTTTAACAGTTATTGCTTAAAAACATTTCTTTTGCAATGAATAGCCCCATATATTTTCACCAAGACACTTCAGAAATTGATATCCCACTAGGACTAAATTAAATTTTTTATTACTATCTAGCTCTATTACAACACTAATTGCTAGTTTTGAGATTGGTACAATCAATCATGCAATTTACATTCCTAGAAATTGTTTTAGATTGAGTATTTTTCCATTTTTTAAACTTTAAACTAACAGAAGTACCTTCAGGGGTTAAGATTAAACAGTCTAAGTATTAATATCTTATGTACATTTAGACGAAAGCTTTTAAAATGTCACAAACAGAGAGCAGGCTTGTGCAGGTGTCATTTCCTGATTGACTAAATCAGATCTAAACCTGTATGGTGGCCACAGGAGCTAGTCTCATCCTTCCCTCCACCCTAGCCATGCAGCTCTGATACCTTCTTGATGTTTATGGCTGTGCACTGTAGCCCACTGAATCAATCACCCTGTTGAGCTAATTGAAGATGACAGGACAATATGACCCCTTTGGAGCCACTGTGAAGCCAGAACAATATTTTATGTTGAAATACAGAGAGATAGATAGATAGATAGATAGATAGATAGATAGATTAGATAGATAGATAGATAGACAGAAACGGATATATGCAGATAATCTACGTTTTCAGTTTCAGGTAACAGTAAAACTGCTATCATACTGTTTGCTGAGCTAAATCTTTGTTAACCATGAAACTGTACAACCAGTGGCATATCTAGCTGTGACTTTTCTTTGGCCAACAGCAAAAAGGCACATGCTTTTCTTAACAAAGTAAGAAAACAGATGTGTTAGTTTAAAGTTTGTGCAGACAAGCCAGTAAGAATATTGCGTCATGGAATCTCCTTTGTAACACCTTACTGAAGTTAGGCTCTGTTACCACTAAGACTTTTAAGATGGCTGTAAGGTCAAAAACAATGATTTACTAGGTTACCAGACTAATGTTTTTAAAAATGAGATAAAGTGCATGTAATGTTTTCCTAAGGGTATAAGATATCCCACATATATATTATTGTATATATGATCACGTGTAATTCATTAATTCAGCTGTATACGGAAGCTGTGAATAGAGAAAATAATGCATTTGACAGTTTTATTTCAAGCCCCTTTTGCCAAGATGAAAATCCCCCTTTCCCATCCATCCCATCAAATCACAAGAGTATTTAAAAACCTGTCTAAAACTTTACTTGATTTTGACCAATGGAGAGCACTACCTTGCTTGTATTCTTACACTAACTTCCACAAGCACACTAACTACAAACTGCTGTGCTGCTGCTGAGGGAAATGTCACTGCTCCCTACAGCCTCCTCAGGAGGGAAAGTAGAGAGAACTATACTGATCTTTTTTTCCCAGGTATCAAGAGACAGGACACATGGGAATGGCTCAAAGTTGTGCCAGGAATATTCAGAGTGGACATCTTTACTCAGCTGGAGGTCAAACATTGGAACAGGCTTCCCAGGGAGATGGTCAATTTCCCAAGCCAAATTAAGAGGCATCTGGACAATGCTCTTAAAAACATCATTTAACTTTTGGTCAGTGCTTCAGTGGTCAGGCAGCTGGACTAGATGATCATTGAAGGTCCCTTACAGCTGAACTATTCTAGTCTAAAATCAGCTTGCCTCTATCTAATAGAGAACACATCAAGAGAGACCTACCCAAAAAGACTTGGAATACAGGGTTAGAGTCAACTCAATGATCTCCTGTCTAAGGGCTTGCCCACGCCTCCATCCCTTCACATTGTTTCCAGACATTCTTCTTCTGGCCTTCCTTCTACTACCTGTTTACCTTACTGCAGCTCCAGTAAGTGTCAGACCTTTCTATGAGTCTCCCAAACTCACTAATAGAGCAGAAAAACCACTGAACTTCTTTTGCTGTGTTAGTTTTTCTACCACATTAGAAAGTCAGGGTGAAGCACAGAGGGCTCTGACAAGCTCCAGTGGGAACACATACCCTGTCTGGCAGCCATGTGCTGTTGAATCACTTCCTATGTCACATGAAAGCACGTATTTCTGGCTGCAGCACCACGAGCAGCTGAGCTAACCAAACAGCCTCCCACCCCACTTCCTCCCTCTTGAAACCATCCTCCTCCAGGAATATGCAGCAAGGACAAAGAGGATATTTAATTCCTTTGATCTTGGGATGAGGTAACTACACTGAAGTAATGAAATTAGGAAAGGGAAATCGCTGGCTGTGATATGGAATTTTGATATGGAATCTAATTAAAATCCCAGGATGAGCTCATGCAGACTGATCTATGCATAGCCACAACAGTGACAAGAGCACCGTAACGCAGCATACACAAAGAGGGATTGCAAGCTATATTTTAGAAGTACTTCAGAAAACATCCCTCCATGAACATTCTTGCCTAAATATAAACCATGTTTCAGTTTCAGCTGACAGTAATTCTACTATCATACTGTGTGCTGAGTTAAATTGAAGAAATTCTGGTTAGAAACATATAGGAACAAGAATACCTCTCATGCAATCATTTAAAATGACACATTAATTACCTTCATTTAGTGATCTAATGCTGACAGATATATTTACCTCATATATGTCATTTATCCAGATTGTTATACTTTGAAAACTCTTCAGATTTGTGATATCATATACGAGAACAAAGCCTTGTGCACCACGGAAATAGCTGGTACTAAGTGTATGGAACCGTTCCTGGCCAGCAGTATCCCTGAAGGAAATTGTAACAAATCACACACATACAAACAAACAAACAAACAAACAAAAAAGAGATTAACAAACTGCAGAGTCCTCAAGAAAAATTACTTTACTTTAAGGAGTATTGTCCAAATTTTAAATCATGTATTCTAACACAAAGGAACAAGAAAAAACACAGGTGACAGAAAATCTGGGTGCCAGATATAGCAATAAAAGAAATACACTGGAAATTTATTCTGAATATACAGCCCTACTAGGGAAGCCAAGACAGTGGCTGAAACCTGAGAGTAAGGTCAAGCCCACCATTCCTTCTTTATATTAATAATTCAGGTGATTAAAAATCAGATGTCAGATGACATCCCCATATTTTGACAATCCCTTTGTAAACTGTGATACAAACAACAACCTGGTTTAGATGGAAGACAGGTTTTGGGAAAAAGCCATAAAATATAAGGACACGGTGGTTCTTACATGTAATGCCAAAACTTGAGGAAACAAACACAAATGGGATCCCTCAATCTGCTTCAGGAGATGCTGGCTACAAAGTACCATACCTGAAATGTTTCTACACTACTACACCAAGCAAGAGGAACAAATGAGACAAGCTCCAAGCTTGGTCCCAGTCCCAGAGACATGACATCACTGGCATGAGTGAAACCTGATAGGAAATAAAATGAATCTGGAAGAGAAGTCAGATGACACGGAAAGACTATAGAGATTCTTTTGGCCACTGTAGGGAGAAAATCTGTGTGGTCAAAGCTACACTGGAGTTGAAGCTGACAGAAACAAAGGAGACAATAAAAAGTTTTTTCAAATATATGAATGGCAAAAGGTAGTGTAGAAATAACATCAGCTCTTTACAGGATGAGGAAGGTCACCTCACCTAGAGGGACATGGACAAGCAGAGGTGTTTAATGCATTCTTTGTCTTACAACACAGATGACAGACCAAGGGGGTCTCAGCACCCTGAGCTGGAGGACCATGACTGTGTGAATGATGAACTCCTAGTCGACCCTGAAATTGTGTGGGATCTGCTTCTCCAGCTGGATCCCTACAAATCCATGAGGCTTGATGGAATTCATCTGAGAATTCTCAAAAAGCTGGCTGATGTAATCACAAAGCCTCTCTTGGTTTTTAAGCAGTCTTGGGCGTCTGGAAAGGTCCCAGCTGACTGGAAGCTGGGTAAAGCTGTCACAGTTTTCAAGAAGGGCAAGACCCTGGAAACCACAGGCCTGTCAGTCTCACTTCAGTGCCCAGTAAAATAATGAAAAATATTATTCTGGAAGACAAACCTGGACAACAACACAGTCATTGGCCATAGACAGCAGAGCAGGCCAAAGTCCTGCTTGTTGAACCTGACTTCCTTCATAACCTTTAGAAAAATTTCAAAACCAAAAATAGTGTATGTTCCCAAAGATTCATCTTATCAAAAGTAATTTCTTTTGGTGACCCTTTTGAACACACATTTGATGGGTAATGAAATGTAACATCTTCTTGCTTTGTCACTCTCTTCAATGCTCCTATACAATTAAATACACTTCATACGGATCATAGATCTGCACTTGTTTGTAAGCTGCAAGTTTTATTGCTAACACAACCCGGTGACAACCCTCTTTTTAACTTCCATTAGTTATTGCAAAAAATATATATTCTCCCTTGCTAAATTCAAATTTTAAAATTATCTAGTAGGAGCACCTGCACATTATGAAGACACACAATTTAAAGTAGATGAGATTTTTCATGTCATAATGCAATTTAGTTGGCCTTCTTTTGTGATACTAATTAAAACTTACCAAATTTGAAGTTTCACTCTTGTATCATTAAACATTACTGGCTTTACTTTAAAATCAATGCCTAGAAGAAAAAAGGAAAATCCGTAACATTTCTCATAATAACATGCATTCCCTTTGAAGATTGTTTCCCAGCTCTAGTTATCACACAGTTTCAAACAGAAAGTGAAAAGGAACAATACCATAGAAAGAATAACTAGCCAACCACATACATTCAAAATGGAAGTTTTAAAAGGAAATTATTCACTGCTCAGTGCCAATACATTGCACAAATACAATTCCAAGCAATGACAATACCAAGCAAAGAAAGGGCAGGTGAAAGCAAAGGTGAAGATACTCTGAAACTACAAGTAAGTATCACCATGGATTGGCAAGGGATGTGACAGCAGTTTCTTGGCCTATCCACAACAGTACATTGTGCAAATACACTGGTGATTTTCAAGAGCATGGCAGCTATGAGTGGGAAGGTAAAAATGCTTACAAAGCAGCTGTCACACGAACAACACAATTTTTCTGTCCTTACTTCCAAAACCCTAAAAAAAATATCCAGGTGTACATGAATAGAAATAGGACTTGCCTGTACACATTAAGTGCAAAGACAAACATACACAGGATTTTAATTCAAAATGAAGAGGACTGGCTCTACAGCCTAAATCAGATCCAGAAAGCCAATGCTAAAAGCAAGCATTAACACTTAAAATCAATGCAGAATGTTGTCTCTATGTACAATATAGATCCTTCCTCAAAGATATCTTCCTTATGATTTATAGTGTTTCTTTTATTAAATCGTCAAATTAGTACTCCAGATGTGTTAGATACCTAGATTTATGAGCTGTTGAAGTTCCAGTTCTAAAATTAGAATCTGCCAGCTATCAGCTATCTTAGAGTGACATATTTTTGCAGAGCGTTGTTTTCCCTACTACTTCATTGCTGAAGTTTGAAATACCATTTGATAATTTCCATGATTGCTTTTTTCCCCCTACTGAAAAACAATTAGGCTCTTTTTGTCAATTACAGTAAATGAAGTTAAGGTAACATTGTGACAGCTGACCATACTGTATGGGCAAAATTCCATAAGATCAAACTATAGCTGCTTAAAATGACAGAGTCTTTTCACCAGTAGTAATGTCATTTGAAGGAACCAGACAGACTGAAAAATCACAAAAAATTTAAGTTCATACAACCGTATTTCCGTAAGAATGTGCAAGCCAAATTACTTTATCAAAGGAAAGCACCCATGGCAGCAAACCAAAAATGCAGAGGAAATGCTCCCCTCCTTTGCACTGACAGATGTATTGTGCACAAAATTTTGACAAGTACACTCTCACATGCATGCACTTGCATGCACTTTCAATGCTATTACCATTTTTTGTGTGTATGTGGTAAGGCAGTTGAGGTGGATTTTAAAAATTATTATGATAGTCATGTCCTTCACTTGATGAATTTTCATTGAAGCTTCAATGAAAAGGAAAGATGAAATAATATAATTGGTATCTGTAATTAATATTACACAAAGCTTCCTTGATGGAATTAATATTGTCAGAAGGAAATGTGATTTAAGTAAAATTTGCTCACATAAGGTGAGATTCCAACATGATGGAAAACATTTGCTCCTGAAATTCACATGGTTTTGTTTAATTATCTGTATAATTTTCTACAATTGATGTTGAAGCAGTTGAGAGGGACAGATATACACTGGGAGGCTGGAATGTCACTTACAAATGGTACATTGGGAACACAGCAAAAAATTCTATTCCAACAGGGATTCCCAGAACTATAGGGACAAGTTCTTAGTTGACATATATTTTAATAATAAATTGCCATAAGCTTTTTAAAAAAAAAATTGTAAAAAGGGAAGCAGAGTGCTGAATCAGACTAAAACTTAATCTAAATTAAAATCAGGCATATTGACTTCTTAAGTCAACTTCAAAATTTATTGACCGAAAAGGTCAATGAATGTTAGTGAAAAACAGAAGTCAATATGTTCTGCATGCATGAATTGTTCATGTCTTTATATGAAATTTCCAGCAAACTTAGCAAATTGGAAAGACAGAAAAGAAAAATGAGATACACAATGCCAAAGACAGCTCACAGATTTCAGATGCTTTTAAGGCCTACCTGGTATACAACATGATCAACATAACAAAGCAAGCATTGATTACAGCTCTTGAGATAAATGTTATTGGAATGCAACAGCATGTACTCACTTCTTTTAGGCTGTCAAAAAAAAACCAAAAAGGGGGATGCTGGGTGCAAGCTCTAATTCTGGTTGTTATTTCCAACTTTTGGAGCTATGAGAATTTATTTTCTTTTTATTTCAAAGAGTAAATAATGCCCGTAATTTGGACTGAGGCACCTAAAAGACAATTAAGTCTAAAAAGCATAAAAATAGTCAGCCACAGGGTAAATCAACTGTGAAATGTCCCTCTCTTCCCTCCCTCTGTCCATCTGCAGAAGTCCTCTTCAAAGAGGTCTTTTGCAGCTGGCCTGGAAAATCACAACACACTTTTCACACAAAAAAAACCTGCTGGGTTCCTGATAGAAAATGCTCAAAAATGTATGTCTATCCAAAGAAAATGCAAATTTGAGTAGCTTAGCAGGACTGAAAGCATGGACAGAGGGTGGTGAATGCCCCTGTGCAGGTTCTACCCAGCCCACTGCCTGTCATACAGCATCTTCAACTCCAGGAACAGGGAAGCAGTTCCTAGCAGCTGCTGTGCCCAAACTGGGCAAGTGCCCAGTGAGACGTGGTGGGTTGAGTTTCCACTGTTACTCCTAACCCATACTTAACCCCTCCTAGTTGCTGGTGCAACTTGTATCAGATTCTTTTCTGAACATGTCAAGCAATGTCTGAAGCAGAGAGATGTCTGAGCAGTCACAAAAACCCCTCCTAGTTGCTGGTGCATTATTTGTATCAGATTCTTTTCTGAACATGTCAAGCAATGTCTGAAGCAGAGAGATGTCTGAGCAGTCACAAGTAGTGAAAATTCCTGGTTTGAGAAAAGCAACTCATGGGATAAGATGGTTTGCTAGGAAAACAAGAGTGACAAAAACATCCAGTTTTGTTAAAAAAAATAATTTAAGATGTGGATTGCTACCAGTGTTCTTAACACAGGACACATTTACCTTCAACATGGTTCATTTTGTTGATTACTTTATTCCCTTCTAAAGTAAATATCAAGAAATCTACATAAACTTTTTAGTCCTAATGTTGAAGTTGTACCACTTTCAATTATATCAGGTTTGGGGGGACTCACAGCTCTGCAGAAATGTTTCTCACAGAAAACACATGTGCTGAAGGACCACAGCGACTACAATACAGCAAAATAACCCCACAGCCTGTGAGATCACAATTCTGTTCACTGATATACAAGGAGGTTCTTCTGTTCATAAACCTCTGTGACTTCATACACAATACCATTGTTTAAACAAAAACATTTATTCTTTATAATCCATTCATAATACAATGCATCCACCTTATGATGTGTAAAAGTTTAATTAGAAAACTATAACTGCTGATAATTTATCTAAACTATGTAATTGAAGAGGAGAAAGGGCACCCAGCCTTGAGTATTTAAGTGCTGCATTAAAAGCTTTCAATGAAAATTTACTGTGGATGTATTTTTTGCATTTTCTTATAGAATACATAATTTTAGAAAACTACTACCAGAGCCTACTACAAAATGCTTGTCTGTTTTTTCCCCCTGCAATAACACTAGGATCTCTCCTAGTAACACAAATCTGTGATTCATGATGACATAGAAATGAGACTTTCAACAACCTTTTAACTGGTATGCCTGTGACCCTCTGCCACCAAGGAAGGTGATGGCATATGATTTTGCAGGGAATTCAGAAAGCTGCAAGACTGCACAATCAGGATAATGCTCCTTCTACTCAAATCACCATTTCAATTGGACAGGTAAAGTGAAAAATCACCTGACAGCAGATGAGCATTTAATAGGCTGTACAACAGAAAGGGATCATTTGACTGAGCTTGTATGAAACAGGCATCCAGACAAAAAGTTATTTGTTCCAATGGTATCAGCAGTGAGGAAGGAGCCATCACAAACTGAGAAAACGCTATGTGTCTTCTTCCTTTACATCACTAGGAGACACAATCTCTAGGGCATGCTCTCCATTGCAGCTGTCTCCATGAAGAAGCAATTTTCCACTGCCAACATTAGTCTTTTGGAAGACACCACTCATAATCCCATTTGTTTTCAAAGTCCAAGCTCTAAAACACATGGTAAAACTGAATTAAATCAAACACAGTATTTCAGAAATAACTTTTAAAAACACATTCAGGTAACAAATACCATGTTTGCATACCATGTACTGATTTATATTTCAGATAAGCTTTTTTAAAAAAATAAAGTTTTTAAATATCTCAATAATACATGTCACTAATGAAACTAAAGAGATTAACCTTAGTCCATAAACTGTCACAAAAACTATTATCTTCATTATTCCTTGAAATAGCTCAAGTCACAAATTGGGAAATATATCCTTAATAGCATATAAAAGTCTTTTGAGTCTGCAGTGGACTGAAGCAGGAGTAAAAGAAATTATGTCTCAAAATAATAACCTCATGGTCAGGAATCTCCATGTAAACTACATCAAATTATAACAAAGCTGTTATTTATTTTTATAGCCATTCTTTCTTGCTAAGCCTTGTAACAAGTTGCCTATTGTTAGGATCAATTTCCTAACTTTACTGTTGTTTTCTTCCCTCTTTGTCTGTGCTGGTTTCAGAAACTGCTTTGTAAGAAAGGGCAAGAAAATAAAAAGTGGTCAAAGTTCAGCCATTCTTATGTAAGCAGCTCAAGTCATCTCAGGTACATTAAGTATTCCCTGGACCAACTACTGCCACAGCTACTGTCTGGTACTTAATTCCACTATGCCAACTCCTCCCAGATTGAAAGATGTGTAAATGAACCATGCACATTCCAAATGCAGGAATACACAATTTCCTGGCATAATTTAGTTTTCTCTTCAAAATCAAATCAAATTAACTCAAAGAAAAAATATTCCTACACACAAACTCTTAAAAATTAAAATTTCCCAATGTGGACTTGGGAAAATGTCCACAGCAAATCAAACCCCTGTACTTGCATAACACATTTTCACTCTGGAGACAAGGTTTTCAGCATGTGGACAGTCATGCTGCCCTTTCCCATGGCACTGTGAGCCTGGGAGTGCCAAGGCAGTGGGGAGCTCCCTGTCACCCGCCAGCTGCAGTGTGTGGTACCAGCGCAGAACTGACATGGGCTGGCAGGGTTAATGATTTCCATCATAGCAACAGCTCTGCTTTAATCATTGTGCACACTTCTAACTATAGTAGAAGATATCCTTATACTATTAAATTTATAAACACAAAGCTAAAGCCCTTTCTAGCCTGAAATATTGATTAACTGGGCCCTTTTTACTGACATCTGACAGCTCTCTGAGGTTGGTACCTGAAGGGAAGCTGCAGCCAGGTGGAGATCAGCCTCTCTCAGGCCACAAGTGACAGGACAAGAGAAATTAGCCTCAAGCTGTGCCAGGGAAGGTTTAGGTTGGACATTAGAAAGAATATCTTCCCAGAAAGTGTGATTAGACATTGGCATGGGCTGCCCAGGGAGGTGGAGGAGTATCCCTGGAGGTGTTTCAGAGCGGACAAGGCACTCAGTGAATGCTCTGTTTGACATGGCAGTGCTCGGGCACAGGTTGGACTCGATGATCTCAGAGGTCATTTCCAACCTAGCTGATCTAGAGCTCTGTATTATTTTCTCTGCACCTGCACCGATGTACAGCAGCAGGGCCTCAGTGGGCAATGAGAAACTGTGAGAAGCAAGTCTTCACAAGTTTACACCAGGAGCAGGTTCCCAATGCCCAGACGAGCAGCAAGGAGAGTGTAACAAGCCAGCACTTAGCAATGGCTCTGGAGCCAGTGTGACACATGTCCTGACACCCCGGCAAAGGTTTAAGCTGCTGGACGAGGCTGCACACCCGCACAGCTCAGCGCAGGTTTGACACCTCCCAGCCCGGCCGGGCCGCGCTGACAGCGCCGGTCTGGCCGTGGGCGAGCCGCGGGCACCGGGGAGGGAGGGCGAGGGGCGGCAGCGAGGCGGGCGGAGGCGCACGGGAGCCGGCGGGCACTCACCGATCGTGGCCATGTACGAAGTGGCGGGAGAGCCGGCGGCAGGCGAGTCGGGCTCCGTGTACCTGCGCACGATGGACGTCTTCCCCACGCAGGACTCTCCGGCCATGACGATTTTGACCAGCAGCGGCCGCGGCTCCGCGGCCGGCCCCAGCCCCGCCATGGCGGGCGCCGAGTGCCGGCCGGGCCGGGCCGCGCCGGGGCGGGGCGGGAGCGGGCCCGGAGCCTCCTCAGCGCCAGCCGCTGCCCCGAGCCGGCGTGATGAAATTATGCAAAGATACACTTCTTCTTCTTTTTTTTATTTTTTTTTTTTTTTGAAAGAAATTTCATCACCGGGGAGGAAGCGAGGAACTTTCACAACCCCCGTGACGCTTCCCCGTGAAGTACAGAAATAAACAGTCTGGTTTCACGTTGCTTCCTAGCGTTAAGTCAGAGGCAGAGGAAACAGGTTTTAAGACTTTCCCCTTTTTCACTTTTAATATGACAGTCAAAGTGACCTGCAACACACACACAAAAAAAACCCCAAACCAAAAAAACTGTAACAGTGTGGGTTTGCTGCATGTGTGTCTGGATGGTTTTTTTACCAGAATCCCACATTATCCAGATTATAAGGCCATGGCCATTTGCCAGCACCAGCATGGAACTCATCCAGTGTCATAAATATAGGAACAGGATATATTTGAATGAAAAGTACTAATGTACCTTTGCAAATATTTGTGTCTATTTAGGCCTGCAATGACTTCCCATGGGAAGTCACCTTCAACCCTTCAAGCAACAACTTGATGAGTTTATGTATCAGAGCTGTAGATGTGACACATTTGCTTTCTGTGGAGGACCATTTATGACTCAGTGAGCCCCACCTAGCATGATTCAGAATTACAGAATCAGGACCATCAAGGCTGGAAGAGCCCTTTGGGATCATCCAGTCCTATCATCAACCCACCACTGCCACTGTAACCCCTAAACCACTAAACTGCATCACCAGCACCAGATCCAGATGCCTCTTAAGTACCTCCCGGGATGCTGACTCCACAAATGTCCTCTTAACAAAGGACAGGTATTATTTCAGGCTTATGTCCCCTTCACCTCTCACACCAATTCTGCACCTCAGCTCGCCAGTATTGGACTTAGTGACCTTTAGGACTTTGTGGTAGAAAATCTCCAAAGGATGTCATCAACCTGTTTCTCAGTCAGTGAAATTTCCTTCATTGCTGGAAAAATGAGAATTTCTGTAACAAGCTGAGAAATAAGGAGTACAAAACAACAGATGAAATCAGCTACTGAGTTTGGTGAGCTTTTTAGGAGTGATCTCTGAGATGTGACTGTGTAAAAAACCCAGTGCTAGAAAAGAAGGCATCAGTTAAACTGTTTCCATTAGGTACAGAGTAAAGTTGTGCATTGATGAGTCTGAATACCTTCTTGAACAACTGTTGGTGGAAAAAGTTGAGCCCACAGGACGCTTTCAGGTGACACATCACATTATGAAGGTGTTTTGGGAGCCTGACTTGTACAATAGAGCAGCAGGCATGTGACTTGCTTAGTTCAACAAAATAAAGGCTAGGAGGGAATATGATTACTCTTTCCCAGGGAGTCAACTAAGAGGAGGCAAAACAAGCTGCACACAATAAAGAATAATATAGCGAATATCTAGATGTACACTGACCATGAATATGGCTAAACCAAAACTTGTGAGGGTTCTAATGATATTTCAGAAAATTCTTGCAGTTGATGTAATTGGGAGAAAATTCTTCATAAAGGCAAAACAAGAAGAACGTGTTAGGGGGACTATAACTGCCTGCAGTAGGGAAGGACTGGATTTCATAAACCGGAACACTTCCTATGAGAAAGATCCCCTGCTATCTCAGCAGCCCCATGAAGTTCTGCTTCCCCATGCAGAAATTTGAAGTTACCACTGTTTATCCCGAATCTGAGGGAAGATGGGGTGCTGGCATCTTCTGCTATTTCTCATGGGTCAGAGGAGATGACATGTATGAGGGAAGTCCAGCACAGATAATGCAGCATCAGCAGGCACGGACGAGTGCCTGCAGGTAGCTGTGTGTCTGTCCTGCTCTGGTCCCTCTGTCCGTGAGGCTGCTGGAGCGAGGACAGTGGTGCTGTGTCCTGTGATGGGTGCTGTAGCAGGTGTTGGACAGATGCATGCAAGTGGGCAGCACACACAGATACATCTTAAGACTTTGTCTTTGTTGTGGAGCCTTCTCAGTTGTCTGCTCTGAGGTTGTCCTTCTTGAAATAGCTTTCTTCAAATGCAGGCAATGCTGCAGCTGCCTGCAGGAGTTAGATTTACCTGTTAGCTGGACTGATGGTGTTAACAAGGATGCTACTTTAGCTCAGTCTTCACCCTCTGCTGTCTGTCAGGCCAACCAATTTCAATAAAAAGGCTCTCCATCGCATTTTGTACATTCAAGTGTTGATTTATGAGCGATGCGCAAGGCAGGATTCTAGCCAAATTCCTAATGAGACTCCAAATACCCGGGGTTACTGCTGCTCTCAGTGAGTTACAGTATCACTTTTCCTCATATTCCTATCCACAAGGGGACAGTCTTTCCATCTCTTACCACCGACTAAAACCATTTAAAACTTAGCTCCTTGAAAAACTACCATTCAATGAATGAAATTTATTTTTTTGAAAATACATGTTTCGTGCTTTAGAAAAAACCTCCAGAATTTTGTATATATGATATTACTGTACTTACAGGGCTACTCATAAGCAATGTTAGTTTAATGGAGCTAATGACTTGAAAATAATGACTGTGGCTACAAAATAACCAGTGCAAAGCACAAAATGAAGTTTTCATCGTGTTTATTGAGATATCTTTGGAAAATAATGTATTTTCTTCTCATTCGGCTTTTTTGATTGTTTGCTTACATTTCTTCACTCCATCCAAAAACATGATTTATAATACTAGTAATAAAGACATAATTTTAAAAGGGGTTTTAGTGGGAGATCTTTGAATTTTCATACATAAATATTACTAGATTTATTATAATATCATTTTATAAAATGTTAGATTATGAAAACATCCAATTCATTTTGCTTCAATATTTATAAATTGTTCCAGTTGGTCTCATAAATATGATTTTTACATTTTTGCTTTCTTACCTGAAACATTCTGTTTAGAAATAACTGCTTAATTTACTCTGAGTACAGAATATTTTGGGCAAAGCAGATAATGACATAATTTTAAATTTTCAAACTGCTCACACCTCCTAATTTTCACTAGTGTAGCATATGGCCGCAAACTCTCCTGATAAGTTGATAAAGCAGCTGATTTTTCTTAGATCAAAACCCCCACAAAAGTGGGCCAACTCCTCACTGCAGTTACAGAAAGTACTGTAAAGTGCTCTGAATGCAGGAAGGAACCAGAGAGATTCTTCAGCAAAATATTTAATGCAAACCATGCAGCATAATCTTGTCACTAACCCTGCTTTGTACATACCTGCTAACAATCATCATTAAAAAAAAAAAAGTTAAGGAGAAGAACATGAATATGAACCAAAGATGAAGAAACCTTCTTTTGAAACATTATAGTATTGTTACAGATGCCACAGCCTCCTTAATAAATGAAGCTTCCTCCTTAATGAAGTAAAGCTTACAAAATATTGCAAAGTGGTTCAATGTATTCCATCTGAAATTATTTTGATTGAATATTAGAATACTAATGCAATTACAAATATTAGTAGCATATTCATGAAAGTTTTCCTGAGCTGGAGATATAAGCTAAAAATTATAATGAGAAGAAAGAGCGAGGCTTAATTTGGATTTAAAATGCTCAGTACTAAGTCACTGCTCATGTGAAGATTACTCACTGAATAGATTCTCTTAAGTGACCAAAGTGGAACTTTTTGCTTTCATTTCTGTTAAGATAAAACCACTTCTGAGTGGACAAAATTGAGGCAAATTACTCCTGATAGGCAAAACAGGGTTCACTAATCCTGAAATGAAATTTCTGGGCTAACTGTAAAGTATTTTAGTTATTTAAGAGACAGGATCTCTGTCAAACCAATATCTAATTTTTAAGATTTCATCAGAGAATAGGACTTCTCTCTCTACACATCAGAATGACTCAAATGTGTGGTTACTGATAAAAACTGCTGAAAAGTTATTGCAATGAGTTACCCATTGTTTGTAGCAGCTCACGATCCACTTGGGATTTGTAGTAGGTTTTAATTTTATTTTATTCAATGGCAGAAGTCATCGCTACATTCTGCCTTGGCTTATTATCCTCAGTTCGTGTATCCCTTGATATCTCTGGATTCAAAGCCACGTTTCTCAATATATTTGAAAGAGGCAGTGCAGTGGTCACAGTAACAGGCAATTTCAGCTGATTCAAGAGTAGCAGGGAGAATAAATGAAAGATGTGAGGATTTCTGTAATCAGAGGAGAGGTAATTGGGGCTAAGAGAAATATTTTAGTTACAAAGACAAGTAAGAAGGATTCTGATACATTACAGAGAAAGAAGTAGGGTCACAAGTCCTGCCAGAAGCTTGTTCCAGTGGAGGCTTCCCACAGGGTCATGGCCTCCTTCAGGCATCCACCTGCTCCAGCATGGGTTACTCCACAGGCTCTAGGTGGATTTCTGCTCCGCTATGGATTGCCATGGGCTGCAGGGACACAGCTGCCTCACCATGATCTGCACCACGGGCTGCAGGGGAATCTCTGGTGCGTGGAGCACCATCTCCCCCTACTTCTGCACTGACCTTGGTGTCCTCAGTGTTGTTGCTCTCACAAATTCTTAGTCCTCTCTCTGGCTGCGGTGGCCCAAGGGCTCCCTCCATCCCCCTGCCTTCTCGGCCTGGACAAACATGGAAGAACTGTAGTTGTTCAGCCTGGAGAAAAGAAGGCTTCATGTAGACTGTCTGGTACCTCAAAAAGCTTTATAAAAAGGAGAGACAGGGACTTTTTATATGGGCAGATAGTGACAGGACAAGGGGCAGTGGTTTTAAACTGATAGAAGTCTGGCTTAGTTTAGATGTTAGGAAGAAAAAGAGAATAATGAAGCATTGAAATAGGCTGTCCAGAGAAGTTGTGGATGTCCCATGTCTGAAAATGTTCAGGGCCAGGTTGGATTATTGCCAGGAGCATCCTGGTCTAATGAATGGCAACCCTGCCAGGGCAGGGCTTGGAATGAGAAGATCCTCAAGGCCCCTTCCAACCCAAACCCAAACTATTCTGTGGTTCTCTGACTAATGCTGTTGTCCCAGGTGTGCTACCACCATTGCTGATGGACTCAGCCTTTGT